ATCATACCGTAATAGTTGAACCATTTTATATTTGGTACCTCTTATTTCAAACTAATGTTCATCATCCATCAGAAAAAAGGCTATACATATGCCTATAAAAGATTTTCTCCCAAAAGGCTCCATAAAACTGATTTACATAGCTAGAGGCGGTCGCGTTTTACGAGCCCGACTTCTGCAAATCTTACTGTGCACCTTTACAGCCCGGGTAGCACGTAATGACACGTTATTCACATTACCGGGGAATCGCCTTAACGCGAGACACTCAAGACTTCACATCATTGTGATATTATTTGCCTAAGTACCGTAAAGCGCGTGTAGGTACCGGTAAATTCAATACAGTGGCGAAATCTTCGTTACTTTCAAAATTATTGGAAAGGGTCAAGTAGACATGTAGATCTATAGTGCAGTGACGTCTTTTGATTAATAGAGCTCCACATTTGCATGTAGGTAGAGCTTTCTGACTTCTTATATTTATTTTATTTCTTTAAATTGAATGCGTCAATTTGTACGAATGGCGGACATAATGCCTAAAGGAATTATTTCCTTTTCATTTAATTTTTGTTTTGTGAAATCTCAACAAAATGTTACTTATATGTAATTTAAGTTGCCACAGTACATTACTTGGATGCTTGAATAATGTAAAATAAAATAATATTTAAGTACAACAAACTATACATACACTTGCACATCGTAGGTAGTAGAGTACTTTCCCGAGGGTTACCTATTGAATGGTAGGCTTAAGGACAATCAAAATAAAATTATAAAATCTATAAACCAGCCTAACTCACTAAATCAATTGAAAGCCACAACGACCGCACAAAATTGAAAGTAGGACGTAACACCTTTCCTCCAGGTGTTCCTTTCTGGATATCAGCCAACAATCTGTACCCACAGGTTCTTTTTGCTATAGGACCTATCTACTGAAATCATTTCTATTCTATATACATTTTGTGCCCACCAGTGCCCACATACCCGTATAAATAAATAAATAATAATAACTGCCTTTGATCTGCTTATCTGATCTTATGACTGATTTACACGTACCTATTAAGTAGCTAACCTACCTACTGTAGGTAGGTAACGAATTCAAGCGTCACTCTCTCTGCCGTGTGCGGTAAGTAGTTGGGTGGCATGCAGCCTCTCCTGTAGCATTCTCTCAGGAAGTCCATCCAGGGGTTGCCCTCTCTTGACCTCGTACAGGGCCAGCCAGGGTTCTCAAGTCCAACGGAATGATCCTCGCCATGAGAGCATCCGAGGTCAGCGAAGGCCTGTGCCTTTGAGTCACAAAACCTACACTTTGATAAATCGGTGCAATTTTTTTTTATTCCTCTGTCACAGTTTTGTTTAATCAGAAAAAAAGAGCGGTGTTATAGCCTTGTTCAACTTCAGACACACGATAACCGCGCGGTTTCAGGGTTTTCATTGGCAAGGTCATAATATGTATACAGGGTGGAATTTTGTAATGCCACCTGAAGGGAAAGTACCTACTTAAATAGTTGAGCGAAATTTCGGAAGTCAAAACTTTCGAAAATTCGCTTGCCACACGCGAGAATCGAACCTTACACTGGCGAAGCTTTCTGAGGCGGTTTGATGCAACCTTTAGAAACCGCGCGCTTATCGCTGTGTGAACCATGCTTATAAATCAAGACCTAGGAGACGGGCCTTACTGTCGTCAAATATAAATAATATTAAGTTTAACTGCATTGCATTTCATATTAACAGTTGTTAACTTTATAACAGCAAGCTGAGCCAAATAATGATCTCTCGGGTCTCAGCCATAATTTTGAAATAGTGTATAGCCTGACCAGGAACATAAAAACCCTGGCATAGAGGCGCGTCAATTGCATTTGATAGTGCAACACTGAGTACAGTCGTACCTGTGTTAAATTAATAGGCTAACTTTATGTATCAGGATTCAGGATTACGGGCTAATTTGATATTTTCATAAATTAACGAAAAAATATTATTATAGGTAACCTGATTTAAATAAATTAAATGAAACCATCAATCGAGCTAGTAGATTTATTTTATTATTCATCAATAATCAAATTCAGAACTTGAATATTCAACTGCAATGTCTGCTCATGAACGCTTCAANTATTCGAATTCACAAGAATGTGCTTCGGTTTGAGAAACTCTGGCCAAACGTTTCAACGACACATCGATGACGTCATGCGAGGCCTACCTGTGTTTTCGTTTGTTGATGACATACTCTGCGCTACGGAGGACGAGATTTCGCACAAGTTATTACTAGAAGAAGTATTCACCAGACTAGAAAAAAATGGCCTACAGATTAATGCCGCCAAATGCATTTTCGGCCAAGAAAACATAGAATTCCTGGGATACAATGTTTCTTCTGAAGGTATCAAGCCAACAAACGAGAAGGTGAAAGTTATTGAAAACTACCCGCAACCGACTACAATTCACGAACTCAGGCGATTCCTAGGAATGATTAACTTCTACCGTGAAAACATTCCAAACGCCGCTCAACATCAAAATGCATTGAACAAATACATGCACAACTCGAAAAGAAACGATAAAACAAGAATTGATTGGGACAACGCAGCATTACAAGCCTTCGAAGAGTGCAAGCGAGACATCACTAACGCCGTCCTGCTCTCGCATCCGTCGACAGTCGCTCCTTTCGCCCTGATGACCGACGCCTCCGATACCTGCGCTGGAGCTGTTTTACAACAGAAAATAGAGGGTAGATGGAAACCGCTCGGATTTTTTTCAAAAAAATTCAGCGACGCCCAGCAGAAATACAGCACCTATGATCGAGAGATGTTATCAATCTACATGGCAATCCGGCATTTTCGACGCATGTTTGAAGGGCAAGAACTCATAATATACACCGACCACAAACCGCTAACATACGCACTGACTGCAAACAGCAAAAATGAAACACTGCGGCGAACTCGATACCTAGAGTACATCGGTCAATTTACTTCCGATATTCGTCATGTCGCCGGCAAAGACAACGAAGTTTTTTGATAATATAAGAACCCTGGTTTTGGAAATAAATATCTCAGTCTTATTACGGCATCCGAGTTTTACTTAACATCTACCTACAACTACTTAGTACTACACACTAAACTAGAGATGGGTAATTTTTTTATCGAATTAGAAAATACCAGTTAACGATTCTCAAGGCGATTATCGATTACATTCGATTTTAATCGGGAAGAAAAATAATTGTTTTGTGAGCCTTAAATAAATAAATAAATAATGGCTTAAGCATCAGTATGAAGCCCATACGCACTTGTAGCACAAGTAACACGATTAGCCTCAGTCCCCTTAGTTGTGAATTCGGAATCGCCAGTTGTAATTTTAAAATCGCATCACAGAGGTGAAGTAACTAACACCAAAAAACGGCAGAGCGAAGTGATTTCGAATGTTTCAACTGCTACGTTTTGTCACTTATCTAGGAGGGCTACTTTAAGTCTAAGGGAGGGGAGCTTAGATTACATTACAGGAAACGCACAATATAATAAAAGAAAATAATGTAAGTAGCTGAACCTTTTTGCTATTGAGCACAATGAAAATTTAACACAATTTAGCCGATTTGTTTATTTTCACAATCGATTCACAATGTCTATGATGAGGCGACCGCAGGAACGTCACTATTCGTGCAATCCTATCAATGAAGTACGACATTTTCTGGTGCAGATTTTATCGCCATAAATTATGAAACTTGATAGTCATGGATTTGACTGACAGCTGTCCGTCAAATTCCCGCCCCGCACCCCGCACTGTACATATTTTGTTCGCGATGTCTGTTCTATACGTAGTAATATTACTTCAATGTGTCCTGGAAGTGATATAAAATTCCACGCGTAAGTGTTTATTTCGTGATTTCTGACAGTGGATCATTGTTAACATATTTCTTTGTATTTTCACAGTAATTACTTCCTAAAACGTTTTACCAGTATTTAAACTTATTATTAAACTAGCTGACCCGGCGAACTTCGTACCGCCTTAGCGTAGAGATTTTCTTAATATTTTTTTCCGTAAGAACCATCCTTGGACTTCCACAAACATTAAAAAAAAAGAATTATCGAAATCGGTTCAGCCGTTCACACGTGATGCCGTGACAACGCGAAACGGGTTTCATTTTTATATATATAGATGTTACATATGTCAAGAAAAAGAACATTTTACATTGAGTTTCATTGACTTTGAGCAAATTTAAAATTTTTGTTTCTATAAGACATTTTGAAGTAGTATGACCATATTGAGGATATATCTGGGACTTTCTGTGGGACCTTACTTATCTAATTTTGCATAATGTTTTCTACGGCCGTTTACTGTAATCAATCCATATCGAAATCCGTCTGTCAACTGCCAAATTAAAATCTGTTTTCTACACAGTTTTCGATGCCTTTACACTTTCTTAATGTTGTAATTCATCTTAAAACAAAAACATCGAAAACCTTTTTTCATAATCATATTAAGTGCACTTTATCAAGACACACTGTTTAAACGTAAATCAGTCTTTGTCGTCCTGAGAAAAATAAATAAAAGGTTACCCTACTTAGAAAGAGAGAGCCTGCCCACAGAGAGCGAGATAGTGATACATAGGTTGTGCTTCAAGTAGGTATTCTAAGTCTGGCCTCCATTTTTATCTTTAGCTTCATGGTATATTCGTTGGCAACTAAAGCTCTATATTTATTACATTATCTTTGCCTCAACTAAACGTTCAAATAATAGTTCATTAACTAAACGTTCAAATAATAGTTCATTTCAACTAAACGTTCAAATAATAGTGTGGCTGTCAAAAAAAATTACAGCAATAAAATGTCAATTTGTGACTTGTCCTTGTCAATTTAATTTCTGTTTTCTTTCCAATATAGATGACCCACGCTGAACTGTCCCACCAAACTCAATGACAGGGGGGCGCTACCATCGTTCAACTATATGGTTTCCAACATGGCAAAAATCTGAACCAGCAATCCGGTATTGACGGTGGCGCCCCACTGTCAATGTCATCGACAGGACAGTCCAGTATTTTGGAACTATACACGTGAGTGATAACCTAGAAGTTTAGAACTAAAAATAATTAAAAGTTCTCTATTAACGATATATTTCATATTACAATGGTGTCATCAAAAAAAGCCGACGTCAAGAAAAGGCCTGTACTTAAAATGAAACCTGAAAAGGTAAAAGTAAAGAAACAAAGCACCGGTAAAACTAAAACTACTGTCGAGAAAATCCTTACCCAAACGGAAGAGAAAAAACCAAAGAAAGATGTGTTAAAGACTATAATAAAAGACCAACAAAATGTAGCCCCGAAAACAAAGTTTGTCATGCCTTCCAAAAACATTAAGGAAGCAAATGTTGATTTATGTCTGGCTGCCTTAGAACAAGTAGCTACTAATACTAAAAACAAAAATGCTATTTTCGATGATGAAACACAAATATTTGCAGAAATTAACTGCATCAAAATACAAACTACTACAGGGAATATTAAATTGTAAGTAAATTTTTTTAGAATTTCACATTAATCATTCTATTGTATGGTTTTTCAGTGATGAGAACACTCAATTAATACTTATATATTTTTTCCAGTGTCCTGCCACATAGTACAGCAGCATCAACAGGAGAAATTTGTTTGATTACACCAGATTTGAAGAAGGGTAAAAAAATTGATCATGAACCTACTGTGGATCATTGGGAGGAAAAACTCCGACAAGCCAATGTGACATGTGTATGTATTTATATAAATACCCCCTTAAAAATCATAAAAAATTTATCTGTTTTACAATGGGAGTTTAACTTGAAAAAATATTTTAAACAGAATAATAATTTAAATTCCTTTATTACTTTAGCTTGTATGTACCTAGTTAGTTTTCTTGTAATTGTATGTAATGTAATTTTTTGGTGTTTTAGGTAAAAACTGTTCTACCAATGAGACAGCTAAGGGTGGAATATGATCAGTTTGAATTGAAACGCAGACTTCTTACACAACATGACTTCATTATGGTTGACACATCAATATTAAGCCATGTGTCTCATTTATTAGGAAAAATGTTTTTCAAGAAACACAACATGCTAATTCCTGTCAGGCTGCATAAAAAAGAAGATATAAAGAAAAGTATTGATCTCGGATTACGTACAGCTATGCTACGTTTGGCAGAAGGAGCAACATCAGTTATTGTGGTAGGACACACAGGCATGCCAAGACAAAAAGTCAAAGAGAATGTTCTCTCTTTAGTACAGCAACTTCGTGACAAATATCCTGGAGGGGAAGCCAATATTAGATCAATTTCACTTAAACTGCCACTATCATTGGCAGTGCCTCTGTATCTAACATTGCGTAAGTATAATATAGTTTTAGTAGATGTGACAAGTAAACTAGGCAAATAATAATGTACCTAGTCATCATTGAAATTGTTGCAGACTATTTATAAATCATGAGTTTTGCAGTAAATTGTTTATCTTCAAATATTTATTTATTTTTAAACTTCCATGCACATAGAACGGTGTACATAAGGCGGATTTACTGCCTTTCGGCATTATTAAATATGGCATTAATGTGTTTTTATTTTCCAGGACCATCAAACTCCATAACTCAGCCTAGATTAGTTAGGAATAAACCTAAAAACTTCAGAATCCTTGAAGATGAGCTGTCTACTATTCCTAATAGTACTGTCAGAGTAGCCCCAGATGGTACAGTTCAAGTAAACAAACTGGGAAAAGAAACTAGGTAACACTAACTTTATTTGTATAAAAAAGCTTTATTTTCATTTATTGTATTTTAGCATGTAAAATAAATTTATTGTATCTCTTTTCAGTGACAGTGAAGATAATGAGATGGATCAAAAGGAAGATAAAGAGGAAGCAAATGCATCAGATGATGAATGAAAGAGAAAACAAACATTTTTAACATATTTTAATCATCAAATGTGTAACACAATTACGTTTTAATAAAAAAGTTACAATCTTCCTTACGAATTTTATTAATTCCTTACAATTTTATTGAACAGTAACCTCACTTTCATTAGTGATCATATTATTTTCTTGAACATCATGGTTAATTGAACCGCTTTCATTAGGAATTGTGTTGTTCTCTTGTTCATTATAGTTAGTTGAACTATTTTCATCCTTGCTATTGTCCACCTTATAAATGCTCATGGATGACCTAGGAATTATAGTCACCTGCATTTTTATAGGCCAAACCTTTTTGAATTTCTTGAAATTCTTCACCTGACTAGACTGTTCTTCTACTGCAATAGGCTCCTTCTTTATTATCAAATCTGGCCTCACTTTGACAATTGTAGTACCCAAGGTTAGCTCATTCATTTTTTCATCTAATTCTTCCTCTTTGATTTTTTTCAAAGTAGTATTCTCACTTTTCATAAATTTTTCATTGTTTTTCATTAGCTCATCCAGCTTAGATCCTCTCAAAGCAGATAAATCTACATTATTAATTTCACTGTTCCTATCATTAGTTTCATGGTCATGTGTGTTTGAATCTGTGTTAGAATTGTTGGCACCAAAAATATTGGATTTAGATGTGTTAGCTGGTATTTTTGATCTGTCCTGTATAAATTGGAATAAATCATCCTCTTCATCTTCACAGTCCAACTTGCGCTTTTGTGGCTTTGCCAAATTTAGACGTTTTATTGTAGATTCACTTGAAGTATTATCAGAGTTCCCACTGTTAACAAAGTTGAAACCATCTTCATCAAATTCGGTAGCATGCTTTTTAGATGGATTCGTTTTTGTATCATTGCTCTCATCTACTTTTCTTTTGATGCCACCCTCATGTCCAGCGCTGCCGGCAGCAAATTTCTTGGTCATATTATTCTGAATGTCATCATCACTCATTTTTCTCTTGAAGCTATTATTTTTGTCAGACATAGAAGTGTTAGTAAGACTCTCATTGATCACAACATTTTCCTTTTTACATTTAGCTCCATAGTTGTACTCTTGAGTTTCCTGTGCAAGAACTGTAGGATTTTTGGCAGTTTGATCAGTTTGCTTTATCACCTCTGAAGGGAAATTGAAGTCTGGATTGCAGTATTTATCAGTAGAACAATACAAAACTGCCAGACCGATCTCAACATCAGTTATTACTCTTTTTCCTTTGCTTTTCAAATAGTTTACAATATCCACTATTGAATTTCTTTGAGTTTGTGTTTCCTGAGATGATGAAGTTAAATTGTACTGGATAACAAAGACATCTTTTTCACACAACATCGATTTTGACATCTTAGATTCACTCAAGAGCAGAGGACTAGCAGAGGCATTAGTCAGAACAGCTTTATACATATCAAATTGACGTTTGGAGAAAAAAACAACTTTCTTGCCAAGTAATAGACTTTTTCTGCGATCATCAGGCAGGAATGAAACAACTTCTTTATTGAGTGTTGACTCAATAATTTGAGGTGTGAAGTTATTTGGATCAGGCAAAGCCATTTGGGAATTTACAGCTTCCAAACATTTACTCCAAAATTCCACAGTAACAATATGTGCCCCTTGAACCAGAGCCAATACTACTTTCATTGTAAGAGTGATTGCAGGCATTGTTAGGTACTTACAAGTACTATCCCAGTCACTTTTTAATGTACCTGAAAGGCTGGTCAGACAGGTTTTCAAGTTTTGTAAATTTTCTCCTTTTAAAGTGGATGTACAAGTCACAAAAGATTTTGCGTGTACTATCCATACACTGCCCATTTTTCCAAACTTTACAATATCTTTGTCATTGAGTTTGATCATCGAGTTGCTTTCCACTTTGACCTCACCATTATTTACGAATGTACCGTAACGAGATCCTAAATCTTGTAAAAACAATTCATCGTGCAAGTTGGTAAGGGTTGCATGTTTTCTGCTGATTGAGGGATCATCTGGTATCACAAAACTGCGTTGTTGGGCATCAGCACTCCGTCCAATTGTTATTTCTTTGTTTTGTCCGGCAATGTAGATCACTCTGTGATCGACTTCAGAAGTTAAATACCACATATTTGTTGATTTACACTACAGTAATTAAGCTACTTTACTCGATTTCAACAAATTAAACACAAAACAAGAACGCCGACTTCGTTTGCGGAAATCAGACACAATCAGACAGATCGTCAGACGTCAAATTGATGGAGGACGCGCAATTTGTCTTTTTTTTTCAGGCAATGGAATACAGATATTGTTTTTTCTATTGGAAAATACCATGGATGTTTGTAAAGTTTTTTCCGAGTCCCCAACACCCACAACACCTCACAACATCTTAAAAAAAGGTTTTCTTATTTTGTATTTCTAGAGAAGAAGAAGAAGAAGCTCAATCCATGCTCTGTGGCTCAATCAGCTCGCTCAATACTTTTATAATATCTTTGGTGGTACACTTGTGACGTCTTGTTGCTACGGCAACCGGTTCGGCAACCATGGAAACTAAAAACAAACAAACATTATCTGTCAAAAATCTTAGACTGAAATCTAAAAGAATGTTTTAACAAATCAACAAATACCTAATATTGTGATTAATATCATTACTTTGCTGTTCTGGTAAAACACATACACCCGGACATCTAACTTTAAGTATAATAACTTGCTGAAATTAACATAAATTAAAATATAAATCATGACGCTTTACATTGATACAAAATTGAATTTCACCGATGTGAATATGGTTTCCACTGTTGGATCCTGGCATCCATCATTACCATTGCTAGCTGTTGGATCCTACAACCAAGAAAAGGGTGGTTTTGTTACAATCTTCCAAGAAAATGTAAGTTCGGTTTAAATAGCTTCTTTCTATGTATTTTGTTGTTTGACAACCTAATGTGACTTATCTATGCTTTTTAGGGATTAGCATTAGAAGGCTGCGAATGGCCGATACTCTTGTCTAATCAAGTGACAGCACTGGCGTGGCATCCTACGAGACGCTTGTTAGTAGTGGGTTGGGACGGTGGAGAGCTCTATATTTGGTTGGAGTACTCATGGGCTCGTCTTGAAGCACCCCACAATGCTGCACTGACTACCATCGCCTTCAGCCATGGCGGCGGAAGGCTCCTGGCGTCGGATGCTGCTGGATCCTTATCTGGATGGCAATCAGGTTCTGGTGCACCACTTACCTCCTTTCATCACCAACTTGGAGATGTTATAACTCATGTAACATACTGTTCTCCTCGTCCCTCATGTGAATCTTCAATAAGAGGTTTAGCTAGAGCAGCTGTTGCTGGAGATGAAAATGCTTTAGATGCATTAGCTGCATGGCGTCCAAGAACTACGGCCCGAATGAGAGAAGGCACCCAGCCTGATAACCATGCGTGCTATGCTGCTCAAGACAATGGGGTAATTTTATACATTGATCATACTGGAGCATGCTCTGAAGTTCTGAATGCCCCAGGCAACATAATATTCATGGGTATAATAAGTAATATTTACCTACTCATTGCATGGGAGTCTGGAGGTGCTCTTAGTTTGACAAGGTTCATAACAGCTGATGATGGATCACTGACAACCGATACACATGTAAGATTGGCAGCCAGGAATGGTCAAAGTATAGTACTTGCTGGGAACTTTTATGTAGCTGTCATAACTGGAGACAACTTAATCAGAATTTGGGATAGTGAAACTGGGGACAATGATGTCTTGCCCAATGAAAAAGAAGAAATTGCTGCAGGTGACATTTTCACCAGTATAAGTTATTGCAACTTGAGTGACACTCTGTGCTGTGGAACATCCCAGGGTAATTTATATCTGTGGCGCAGGGACCATAGAAATCAGTGGAAACTTATTAGTAGTACAGCTGTTAAGGGTACAGTGAAAGAAGTCAGCTGGGGCTCTGAAGGCCTAATGAACCCCCTTTTGCATGTTAACTGTATCACAAGCGCATTTATTCTTAGGGAACAACCAGTATGTTGGGGTTATTCTCCCAACGTTTGGATGGTTCAGAGATCTGCTGTTGAAATAGCAGTTACAAATAAAAATAACTTGATGTCAACTATTGATACTACAATCACCATTAAAGCATTTGCTTTTAAGGATCAATATGTAGCATTAGGAGATGGAAAAGATGTACAGGTAAAATATTATGTTATAACATTTACATTTCATTTTTAAATCTTGTTTCCTATTTTTTTAACTACATAAATAATGTTTCCATTACAGATTTGGATGTGCAGCAAAGAGAGTGATGTGAAATTTTCCCTGATTCGAACTTTCCCATGGAAAACAGATGTTCTCATCATTCATAATGATGTATTGGTTGGCTTGGTAAATCCACACATTGAATGTTACACAATAACTGGTAACAGTTTAGGTATTCTGCCAAGTACAGAAGGTGAAGGTGAACCGATTGGCATCACAAATACAAACAAATTCATAACAGTTGCAACAATGGATGGAACACTTAAATTAGTTGAAATAACTAAAAAGGGTCTCAGAATGCCCTTTCCCCCTAAAAACTGTTACCAAATGATTGAAGATTTTGGGGAAGTTATGAGAGCATCAGTAAATTCTGTTGGCAGATATATTTGTTTGAGCATTGCTAATGCAGGTTTAGCACCCGACCCTAGGTTATACCTTTGGGATGTCGCCAATGATAGTGTCACAAGTATGCATCTTGATGAAACTGCAACTCCACCATACCAGAGTGTTCCAATAGCAATCATTTGGGATCACAATGATCCTAGAATATTAGCTGTTCATATGAGATCAGCAGATGTAGACAGCATTCACTTGTTTTTTTGTCATGAAGGAAAACTTTATGAATACAAAAACTGGTGTTCCTCATCTGAAGATTACTTCCTTACTGATTTTATGCTGTGTTCTCTGTACACACCTCATGTTGTTATTTTAGCGCAACAGAGCTTGAAGAAGATAATAATGAATGAATTTTCTGATTTTAGTGATCCTGACCCAAGTATTTTGCGTCAGATATTAGATTTCTTGTACTACATGACTACAGAGCATTTAGAAAAAGCAGTTGTTGTTGGCACAAGTATATCTGGTGGCAAAAGTTCTATTATTTGGGACAGCTTGGCTAAAGTGTGTGTTTATTGTAAGCGACCTGAAGTAGGCGCAGTATGCCTGGGAAAAATGGGGAATATAAAAGGTGCGCTCATGATGCGCAAAGTTATGAATGATAATAGCATAGATGATGTATGTAAAGTCGGAGTTCTTGCGGTAAACCTTGGTATGACAGAAGAAGCTGAGAAGCTTTTTCGTGCAGCTCAGAGACCTGATTTGGTCACTCGGCTTATATCAGCTAAGGAGGGTGGTCTCAATGAAATAAGTAATGGCGATAATGAAGGAGAAAATGTATTGCTTGTAAAGAGTGCTCAGCATAAGCTTGCTAAAGTGTTATGGGCCAATGGGGAAACAAGTGCAGCATTAAAATTATTTGAAAGTGCTGGCACTCTGGTACCTCATGTGCCCAGGATGCTGATTGCCCAGGGTCAAGCACAGTTACTTGCACAGTATGTTGTCAATTCTAATGATGTGAGCCTTATAACTTGGTGGGGGCATTACCTTGAAAGCATCGGTGATTTAGAAGGCGCACTCGAGGCTTACGCTCGCGCTAACGATCATGGGGAACAGACTAGGTTGCTGTGCCACATGGAGCGAATTGACGAAGCCGAGAAGTTGTGCCATAAGGACCCGGCTTCTATGTACCAGATGGCGCGGTATTTAGAAATGCAGGCTGACAAAACGGAGAGTGCGGTGAAGGTATGGAATATAAACTTTTGAAAGTATTTTTGTTCGACTGTATCATCTTGTTTTATGTTGGTATTGTTTTAGATGTATATTAAATGTGGTGCTGTCTCATCGGCGATTCGCGTCGCTGCCGAGGCTAGTGCGTGGAACCTCGTGTGGCGCGCTGGCTCGGCGTCTCAAGCGCACGCTCTGCACGCAGCGTCGATCCTTGAAAACGCTGGACAAAATGAGCAGGCAATAGCTTTGTATCAAAAAGCAGGTACTAATCCCAACTTCCCAACTAATATTATAAATGCGAAAGTAACTCTGTCTGTCTGTCTGTCTGTTACGCTTTCCCGCTTAAACCTCGCAACCGATTTTGATGAAATTTGGCATAGAGATAGTTTGAGTCCCGGGAAAGAACATAGGATAGTTTTTATCCCGGTTTTTGAAACAGGGACGCGCGCGATAAAGTTTTTCTGTGACAGACAAAATTCCACGCGGGCGAAGCCGCGGGCGGAAAGCTAGTTCCAAATAAAAAGGCTTCCAAGCCAGTAAGCAAGCCTTTTTAGTTTAAAATGATTAGTTGTAAAACTAATCAGACAATTACGATAAATAAACCACTTCATTTTTTTTTGTCTTTCAGAAAAACCGCACTTAGCATTGAAGTTAGCACTTCAGTGTGGAGATACAAACGCTATGATCGCTGCAGTTGAATCGCTCGGAAATCGCGTCGACCCAGAACTCGCTCACACGTTGGCTGCTCACCTGAGAAAAGCAGACCACCATTCGCATGCGGCCGCGTTACTGGCGACAGCTGGCAAGGTTCGATTGAATTCTTTGAAAACTATTTTTGTTACAAAGCCTTAAACTTGAAGCTTTATTACGTACTAGCGCCTGCCCGCGACTTCGTACGCGTGGATCCCGTTTTACCCCCTTACGCTGGTTTTAGAGTCGCGCTGACCGCACGCTGATCGTCGGCGCCGACAGATCAATATGTATGTAATTGAAGGGCGTCTTAGTTCTAAAAGGAACCCCCATGCAAAATTTGAGACTCCTAGCACTTGTAGTTTTTAAGATTTCATGATGAGTCAGTCAGTCAGTAACCTTATAGGTATAGATTGTATTGAGCATCTTCCTTCACTATATTTTTTTACAATTTTCAGTATGAAGAAGCTCTAGACATAGTGGAGCAGTCATCAGCTCCCCTGTCAGAAGAGCTGAGCGAGCGACTGGCCGCGCCCGCCGGCACGAGCGGCCGCGACGCGCTGCTCCGGCGCCTGGCAGACGTGCTGGGCGGGCGGGGGCTCTACNTGGCTATTAGTTTACAATTAGTTATTTTTAAAAATGGACTTATTTGATACTTGTTAGATGCGTCTTAAGCTCATTTACCAGAGGTGTCAGTGTGACGTGTAAATTTTGAGACACCCTGTACATTCTTTTAGGGCTCATTTTTGAAACGAATGAAAGCGATGTCAAGTCAAAAACATGCCAACATTTTACAAAATTGCCTACAATTTAATTGTATTTCCATCTTCAGAGGCTAATCTCCTAATGAGGGATTTCGCGATTGAAAAATCCGCCAGATGGCAATACGTAGACGGGAGGTCCAAATGCTGCATGATTGGTGGATTTTAACATATTATTTCTGTCAATGTCATGTCAAAATCCACCAATCATGCAGCATTTGGACCTCCCGTCTACATATTGCCATCTAACGGATCTTTAAATCACGAAAACCCTCATTGTTATAATTTTGTAAATTTTTTAGTATTCAAAACAGCTTAGTAAACAAATAAATCACAACTTGCAACCAACTGTATTTAAAATTTGCCGGGGCAAATTATTATTTACTAATACAATACACCACTATTGTATTCTCTCAAGAACTTTATATAAATAAATTAATGTCACAGTAGATTTTACTTGCTTTTAAATTTTAAAATAATTTCATTCTCTTTTTTCTTTTATTTAATTTATACAGGTATTTTTCGTTGTGCTCAGTCAGTGTAACAGCTGAGCTCCTGAGCTCAGTATGTATGTTACATCACTGGGCGTCCATTCGACAAGTCGACGTCATTCATCATCCCAGTCATCTGTCATTTCATGTCATTTGGCGTAAATCGAAAGCCGCAATTGCGGTTAAAACTCGTAATTTGTCCTGGAAATAAAGAACAATAATGTATTCATTACACCGGCAAAACTGAGCTCAATCAGGCGTTGTGCAATAACAGTGAATTGACACCGTTAATAGTTTTGTGACAATAAAATGCCTTTTGTTAATATCAAGAAGCAATATTTAGCGATCGCGATGTTGATTTTCGTACTGTTATTCTTCTTCAATAGCAAGCCTACTTTCCAATGCCAGTTTAATCCAGAAGTGGCGACGTTTCTGCCTACGATCTATGGAATTACGCCGACTTATGCCAGGCTAGCCCAGAAAGCAGATTTGACGAGGTAAAGTTTTGTATAATCGTGAGTTTTCTGCCCTTGGTGAAATCGATTATTTTACTTCATATGTTTGGCCAGAGTAAAATTTGGCAATGAATCTGGGTGCAGACGTGATTAATTTAATTAGTTCCGTCGTTTTGTACAAATACTTGCATGCTCTGCCAGGTTTAATATTGAATTCAGAAGTATTCATTGATGTTTTCTGTCTTCTACAACCATTAATCATAACTATTAAATTAAATTGTGAATGGGCTTAAATCCTACAGTCTTTGTTTCATCTTGTGAATCAGAAGTTATTTTTAACATTACCAATCCTTTGCAAATTTTTAAGGAAACATTCTTCCATTTTAAATGCTAGGTAATAAATACACATTTAATATTATGTTAGTTACTTTTTCACAACTTTCATGTGGAATATCTGCCTTCAGGTTATCACAAACTCTGATGCTAGTGAAGAATTTTCACTGGATTGTCATCGAAGACTCCGAAACAAAGACAAAACTGGTTGAAAATCTCCTTCGGGAGTCAACTCTCAAATATACACACCTCAATGTTAAGACACACAAGGCTAAACACTCAACGGTAAGTTTTTCGTGTTATTATAAAGCATAAGGCCCTGATATGTGTTTTGATAAATTTAATTATTCAGGAAATCAGGAAATTTGATTGGTTATTTAAAACACTTCTATGCCCCGCTCCGCCTTGGTGGAAAGAGGACCTAATAATGCAAATACACTCAACATCAAATAAACCGCACCTTCCGCGACGCGAACTTTAATGATTTTCTTCTGACACAATTATGGTACCCCAACAATATTGGTGTTATTTGAAAGCCCAATAAATATCCTTTAAGAAAAACACATTTAATTTCTTCATAAACGATTTAAACGATTAACATACAATAAATGTGACTTGAAAAAAGACCTCACTTTGGGCTCACCTCTGGGATCAATTAGACCAATTTTTATGGTTATAAAACCAAATAATGATCTCACGTGTCCTCTCTAACAGATGGATAGCGATTAATCCCAACTTAACAGTTTTATAGTCATAAAAAATGGCTATAGCGTAACTACCTATTTTTTAAAGAAGTGACTCTGGATCCTTGTAAAGACACATTTTTGGGGTAAAAACCTTTCCTTTAATGAAATGAAGTTTAAAACTAGGCTTTCAAATGGTACCAATGTTGGTGGGAAGTGGGGATGCATACGTTTGATAAGTGCTTGTCGCGGGAGGTGCGATTTATTTGATGCCGAGTGTAGTTTACGATTAAAGACAGAACAATAATGGTTTACTTAGTGCCAAAAGTTGGATAAAGATATGAAAACGCAATTGGCTAGATAATGACTATGATTGTTTTCTTTTATTTACAACAATGAATATTTCAGGTTTTGGACATCAATGTATGTCTGTTCAAAACAAAGTTTTTCAACACTAGTTGGTATTGTGTATGTTGGAAAATTATTTTATTTGTTAAATTTTTGGTAGCTATGCTTGGAATTGCCTTAAATTCACATCTGTTTTTCTCAAGAGTCCAACACAAAAAACATTGTTTATTTTCTAAACAAACATACCTACAATGTGAATTTTGAGCAATTATTGAAAATAATAACTACATAACATTGGCTGTAATGGCTGTAGAGTTTTGTAATTTAGTTCAATTTTCTAATATTAAAATGAAACCTTATTGGTTTGATGATATTATGTACCTAACAATTTTATTTTGACTGTGAGTGTTTAATGAACTAATATAAAATGTAGGATTTATGCCAAAAATGCAATAAACAAATGTCTTTAATAGCCAAATAGATAAATGAATAATATTATTATAAATTAACACTGAAATATTTTGTCTGCAGTTCTTAACTCAACTATACTGATAACATTGTTATAGAATGTAGTTAAATATTACTGACGACCAATAAATTATGTGATATAGGACAAGAAATTTGTAATTTTGTGAAACTTTTTACTTTAAATTACTTTTTCATATTTCAGGCAAGTGGTGTTGAGCAAAGGAATGTGGCTCTAGAATGGTTACGGGAACATTTAGCTAAGATCGAGGACAAAAGGGGTGTGGTCTATTTTATGGACGATGATAACACATATTCGCTGAAGGTGTTCGATGAGGTGAGTCCATTTTAATAATATTACTTAAATTCGTTGCAGGTTTGGACAGTTAGCTGTCTCTCGAGATTAGTCAACCTTCACTGGTTGGGTTTTATTGGAGGCCAAATCAAAATCAAATCAAATCAAATAATTTATTGTGCATAAATTTGGGTACATTACATTTGCAGTAGTTATTGCAATAATAAAGTTAGATCGCCAAATCCTACCATTACAGCTGTAGATCCTGGCTATACAGGAATTGCAGTGGTGAAAAAGAGTGGTGGTGTAGCCACCTAGCTCATACGTCATCGCATCATCAATATTGCTCCACCGCTTGACCGCACGCGCCGCGCGCCTGAGACTGACTGGCGCGAACGGCGGCTNGCGGGCTATCAAGAAACAGAGAGATACTTCACAGAAATCGAGAATACAGCCCGCCTGCGACGGGCTTTGAAAGGAAAAGCCAAGGAAGCGGTTAGCAGTTTACTCATAGTAAACACTAGCCCGGCGGAAATAATCGGCGAACTCGAGACAAGATTCGGCAGACCGGAGACGATTGCGCTCGCCGAGATCGAACGACTTCGCAACGTACAGAAGCCTACAGATGCGCCACGGGACATAATACAGTTCGCGAGTCGAATAAAGAACAGCGTCGCTACACTCCGCGCACTCCAGCAGCCGCAGTACATGTACAATCCGGAAGTGGTCAAGCAAGTGACAGAGAAGCTGACGCCGTCGCTGCGGTACCGGTGGTTCGACTTCAGCCGGGACCAGCCNTACTGGGATTGCGAGCAGCGATAAAAGAAGACATCGGACACAGCGCAGCCGAACTACTGTACAATCAAGCACTTCGTCTACCCGGTGAATTCTACGGTGAACCGGTGACGTCATTCACATCGTCACAATTTCATAACGACCTCACAGAAGCTATGCACAAAGCGCAAAAACAAAGATCGTCGTCGAGGCCTACGTTCGTGCATAAAGATCTACATATATGTACCCACGTATTTGTAAGGAACGATGCCGTACGCAAGCCACTCACACCAAGTTACACCGGACCTTTCAAAGTCATCGATCGCAACGACAAATACTTCGCCATTCAAATGCCACTCAGACGCACGAACATCTCAATTGAAAGACTGAAACCAGCATTCATCATAAACACGGAAGCTGAAGACGCTGAAGCACCCAAGCACTCAAACAACTTGCACACCTACGTCACAAGAACAGGAAGAACATCGAAGCCTCCCGTACGCTTCGCTGAGGGGGGAGTGATGTAGCCACCTAGCTCATACGTCATCGCATCATCAATATTGCTCCACCGCTTGACCGCACGCGCCGCGCGCCTGAGACTGACTGGCGCGAACGGACGGCNCCTTGCAGGTGCCTGAGCTGTGAGCTAACTAGAGCTGAGCGAGCGACTGGCCGCGCCCGCCGGCACGAGCGGCCGCGACGCGCTGCTCCGGCGCCTGGCAGACGTGCTGGGCGGGCGGGGGCTCTACCACCAGGCGGCCAAGCGCCTCGCGCACACCGGGGACAAGGTACTGCTTGCAGGTGCCTGAGCTGTGAGCTAACTAGAGCTGAGCGAGCGACGTTCCTGAGTAGCGCTGATCGCTCAACGCCGACGCTTCATACATTTCGGCTGTCAGCGCTGACGGTCAGCGTGCGTCTGCGTGATTCTGAAACCAGCCTTACAGGTGCCTGAGCTATGAGCTACTACTAGGTAGTCGAGCAACTCGCGCATTTTGGAAAAGAGTAGGTATTGTCTTACAGCGATAAGTTAGGTGATTTCTCTGTCTCATCTGTGATGTATCTAAGCAACCAACAATTGCTTTCGTTAGCTATGTTATGTAATAGTGTGTTGTGTCTTATCATTATTAAAGTCTCGCGCACAGTATTTTAGGCACTATGTTTCCAGTTTCAATGAACAAACTCAATATTTACTGCAACCATATAAAATTGTTATTTTTCAGGCAGGCGCCATGCGATGGCTGATGCGTTCAGGAGACGCAGACCGCATCGCGACATTTGCAGCGGCGACTCGCGACCGCGCTGCACAGCTAATGGCAGCTGACTACTTGCGCAGGTAAAAAAATAAAAAAAAATGAAAAAAGTATTTATTTAAATAGGCACAGGTTACATTTTGCATTACAAAATAATAGAGGCAAGATGTGTTAACAATAACAGTAAGAAAAAAGAGCAAGATGTATATCAATAACAGTGGGCCCCAAACTAGGCTTAGCCTGTATCTTGGTGGCCCAAAAGGTTTTCAATAGTTATAGATAATGCTTGACGAAGTCATTTGAACGTAGCAACATGTTTTACCCATTATTATGATAAAAAAGACTGCTTTTAATATTTAATGTCAGTCACTAAAGTTCTTGGTGAAATGAACTATGAAATTTTGTGCATAACAACCCGTCAAGTTAACTGCGCACCTGGCTGCCCTGACGTCACAACGACGCTCTTAGTAAGGACGGGGCGAACGCGGGAGAGTCTTATTCTAGTCAGGTGCGCAGTGAACATGATCGTGTTGTAAATAATATTACTTCCAAATAAACTTATTTGTGCATTTATCTTTTCAGAAGAGCCGACTGGCGTTCGAGACCAGACCTGACCAGGCACATCTTGCATTTCTACACCAGAGCCAAGGCGTACGGAAAACTTGCCGCGTTCTACGCAGAATGCGCTAAAGTCGAAGTTGATGAATATGACGTTAGTAAATCGTAGTCATGACGTAAAGTACAGTCAGCATCAAATAGTTCGTGACAACCAAAGTAGCCAAAAAGTTGTTAACAAAACCTTATGCCAATAGTAACAAAGCGATAATTTTGGCTACTTTGGGTGTCACGAAGTATTTTACGCTGACGTACCATAATATTTATGGGAGTAAATAAATTATTATAAATATTGAATAAGTTATGTTATCTTTGCAGAACTATGAAAAGGCATTAGAAGCATTAAAAGAAGCAACAAGATGTCTTGCGAAGTCTTCTGATCCAGAATCAGGTAAACAAGCTATTAGCAGTCAAAATATCTAATGCGTAGTAAAGTTATTACGATAAAGTTATAATAACCGTTGGATACTGTTTTGCTGTTTCCAGGAGCTCAAACAATGGCCTTACAAGAGCAGAGCACTATAGTAAAACGTTTCATAGACGTCAAGAAAACTTTAGAATCCGGTGAAGAGAATGCAGGTATTCTTAAAAACTCTTCATTCTTAAATTTGAAAAATCGCAGTCACGAAATTTTGATGTCTTTGCAAGTGCATTCCACTTGCTTATCGTAAATCGTCATGGCGCAAGTACACTATGTGAGAAATTGACCGAGACACACGGCGAAACTAACCGAAGCGCGTGTTTACACTATACGTCTCAATCAAATTCCCGCATAGTGTACTTGCGGCATTAGGTTTATTCAGTCCGTCGGAACTGGCACAAGACAAGGGCGTTCATCATGGCAATACCAAACAGGCAAAAAGTACAATATTATTATGTTTACAGGTGTAACAAGTGGTCAACAATTGCTGCGAACTGTGAGTGGTCGTCCCGGACTTATAACCGAAGATAAAGTCATCAAATTGCTTCTCCAGTATGCTCCAAACCATCCTGATGCAGCACGTATGTATTTAATTACAGCTTTTATCCGCGACTTGGCCCAAGTGAATTACGGTTTGTCATAGAAAAAGTCTATCGCGCGCTTGCCTTTTAAAATCTACTGTCTATCTATACCAAATCCATTTAGCCGATTTGATTGTTGATATTGTACATTAGTAGGATGCCTTCGACGTGCGCAACAAATAGATTTTTTGTTTATTTAAAAAATTTCAAGATACATAGTAATTTTTCTCTCTGAACATTTCAGAACTGGATCAACAGTTACGGGGAATGCAGAAATCGTCTGAGGATGACAACCAATCAACAGAGTCACCTGATCAAAGTATCGAAGAAGTTATTTAAATTCTCAAGTGCTTGTAGAATGTTACAAGAACAAGTACGAGTAGGTACTTATGTCCGTCGAAAACTATGGAGTGAATTTCCGTGAAGACATAGAATAATAATTATGTATATGTTACGGTTAATGTGGTTGTAGCCACCTAGCTCATACGTCATCGCATCATCAATATTGCTCCACCGCTTGACCGCACGCGCCGCCCGCCTGAGACTGACTGGCGCGAACGGCGGCTGCGCGCGGTATTTACGTGCGCCGGCGATGGGTGACGTCACATGCGCAAGAGCAGCGGCGTGACCATCCCGTNGGTGTCACTGAGCGAGACAACGGGCACGCGCCGTATTTATGTGGCGTAGATTTCAGCTGCAGCGGCCTACCTACACTAGCGAGCTATGCGATGCGTTCGCAGTTTTATTTTGACGACCCACTAATTGGAATACATTTTTGATAATATAAGAACCCTAGTTTGGAAATAAATATCTCAGTCTTATTACGGCATCCGAGTTTTACTTAACATCTACCTACAACTACTTAGTACAACACACTAAACCACCATAAAAAGAAATAAGAAAAGCAGCATAAGAAACATTAGATATTGAAAAATAATGTCAAAAGACAGCGAAAAAGAGGACAAAAACCCAGAACCGCATATATCGACGGAATAGACAAAACTGCAAACAAATCAAATAATCGAAGAGAGAAGATTTATTTACCCCAAGATAAAAAAAATAGATATAAGAAATATTTGGCCGAAGGAAAACAGACAACAAAGAAGACGACAAAAACCCAAAATCACAGTTATCGCCGTAGTAATTAGTTAAAAAAAAACAAAAGACTCAAGTTTTTAAGAGGTTGTGGATGAATGGAACTAAAATTTAAACATCTACTATCCAAGAAATAGAAAAGAGTGAACAAACTCAATTATGACACAAAGAAATAAGAAATGAAGCATAACAAATATCTGACCCGGAACATGTAAACAAAGAAGAGGACTTCAAAAACAGTACCTACCTAACACAGACCTAGAGGTGGGCGCCACGCCGGCGCGCCGCCGCCGCCGCGAATTTTTTCACGCCGCCGCCGCCGACGACCAGCTGTCGGCGCGCCGATACTGATACTGTACCAACTATTTGCAATTTATTCCTCTTCTATACTGTACTAATTTGTGTTTCGAACGCAGAAGAACTATTTTTTTATTGAGTCGAGCGGCTATTCTAGTTCAATAAAGTCCTAGTATGACTGCGACGGGTACCGATCTATTGTGATCGGCGCTATTAGGAATTGCAGTACGTTTTGGGGGGCGATATGTTTTCCATCTTGTGGGCTTAGGATGTGTTTGCCCAGGTGTAAGCTCCGCTTGCGCATCAAAGGTCCGCAGTCCGTGAGAATGTGTAGTGGCGTTTCATCTGCCTCTTGGCACATCCTGCACGTTCTTGATTCGGACAGTCCCATCGCTGTAACGATCCCAGACCGATATCCGATACCAAGACTTCACGACTTCACCTTCAACCTGCAAGGCAAGAAGATATTTTCGAAAATAGACCTGCAAAAGGCCTACTTCCAAATTAAAATCCGTGAAGAGGATATTAAGAAGACCGCCATCATCACACCGTTTGGCCTATTCGAATTCACAAGAATGTGCTTCGGTTTGAGAAACTCTGGCCAAACGTTTCAACGACACATCGATGACGTCATGCGAGGCCTACCTGTGTTTTCGTTTGTTGATGACATACTCTGCGCTACGGAGGACGAGATTTCGCACAAGTTATTACTAGAAGAAGTATTCACCAGACTAGAAAAAAATGGCCTACAGATTAATGCCGCCAAATGCATTTTCGGCCAAGAAAACATAGAATTCCTGGGATACAATGTTTCTTCTGAAGGTATCAAGCCAACAAACGAGAAGGTGAAAGTTATTGAAAACTACCCGCAACCGACTACAATTCACGAACTCAGGCGATTCCTAGGAATGATTAACTTCTACCGTGAAAACATTCCAAACGCCGCTCAACATCAAAATGCATTGAACAAATACATGCACAACTCGAAAAGAAACGATAAAACAAGAATTGATTGGGACAACGCAGCATTACAAGCCTTCGAAGAGTGCAAGCGAGACATCACTAACGCCGTCCTGCTCTCGCATCCGTCGACAGTCGCTCCTTTCGCCCTGATGACCGACGCCTCCGATACCTGCGCTGGAGCTGTTTTACAACAGAAAATAGAGGGTAGATGGAAACCGCTCGGATTTTTTTCAAAAAAATTCAGCGACGCCCAGCAGAAATACAGCACCTATGATCGAGAGATGTTATCAATCTACATGGCAATCCGGCATTTTCGACGCATGTTTGAAGGGCAAGAACTCATAATATACACCGACCACAAACCGCTAACATACGCACTGACTGCAAACAGCAAAAATGAAACACCGCGGCGGACTCGATACCTAGAGTACATCGGTCAATTTACTTCCGATATTCGTCATGTCGCCGGCAAAGACAACGAAGTCGCCGACGCCCTGTCAAGAATTGATGAAATAACATGTCCTTCACCGATTGATTATTCATCACTATCTAAACAACAGAACGAAGACGAAGAACTACAAAAATTATTAGAAGACAAGAAGCACGAGTTCAAGACAATAATCATGCCCGGCACTTCAATACCTATCACCTGTGAAACTTCAACTGGCATCGCTCGACCATACCTACCAGCTGAGTTCCGGAAACAAGCCTATCAAGCTATTCACGACCTCAGCCACCCCGGTATACGAGCCACAAGAAAAATAGTCAGCAAGCGCTATTTCTGGCCATCAATGAACGCCGATATACCTACCTGGACTCGAACCTGCATCCCCTGCCAGCGCGCGAAGGTACAACAGCATACCCACGCACCTATATCACAGTTCGAGAAGGTAGATCGTCTATATCAAGTACACATCGATATTATCGGACCACTACCTACCTCCGATAATTATCGATATTGTCTAACGATGATCGACCGCGCAACTAAGTGGCCAGAAGCTCATCCAATGGAAGACATCACTGCTGAAAAAGTCGCCGACACGTTTTATCAAGCCTGGATATCAAGATTTGGTTGCCCAGCGATAATAACTACAGACCAAGGCAGGCAATTTGAATCAGAAATATTCAAATTCCTAACACAACGCCTAGGAATTCATCGAACACGCACTACTGCTTATCATCCTCAAACGAATGGCATCATCGAACGCTGGCACAGAACGCTGAAAACTGCACTAACAGCTCGCCTTCAAAACAACACGACTTGGACACGCGAGCTACCTACCGTCCTACTGGGATTGCGAGCAGCGATAAAAGAAGACATCGGACACAGCGCAGCCGAACTACTGTACAATCAAGCACTTCGTCTACCCGGTGAATTCTACGGTNAGTACAACACACTAAATTGGTGACCCACGCAAGCATGAACACCTGCAACGAGAAAACGGTTGAAGCCACACAACACAACGAAGAAATGGCAGCAGTCTCCGTTAAAGCCCGTATTCCACAATTCTGGCGTCAAAAGCCTAGACTTTGGTTCGCACAATACGAGTCAATTATCGCTAACCAGAAGATGGGAGACGAAGCAAAATATCATCTCGTCGTGGCTCAACTTGAACTGGCCGACATCGAGCAAGTTGGAGATATAATATTATCCCCACCGGAAAGCAACAAATACGAAGCTCTGAAACAACGATTACTATCTGTCTACGAAGAATCGGAGTCCAGACAACTTCAAAAACTACTCGGAGAGATGGAGCTAGGAAGCCAAAAACCCTCACAGCTGCTGAGGAAGATGCGTGATCTAGCACTTGACAGAGTCCCAGATAACACCTTGAGAGTGATGTGGACTGGGCACCTACCTTCATCAGTTCGTGCCGTACTCGCCNACTGCGTGAATCATTTTTGATCAACATTATGTACATAACTACATACCCTGACACACTGACTTGCAAACCATGTAAGAAAATTTGAACATTGAAAATTTCGCGCCTACCTCAACGCATTCACCTTTTATCCTTTTAAAATGGCACGGAATAATTCTGTCTACATTTCCAAGTAACATCTGCCGATCTATGTTTTTCTTAACCTCGTAAGTCCTGTGTTTTTTCAACAGCAGTATTTATATCTGCCGGATGTACTATACCAAGTACAAACTAAGAAATGTGCTTCAGACCGAGACAAAATATTGACGGTTTTACATAGTTTTTTAAGTGTTACCTTATGTTTTGTATTTTTTACTGTAAGTTAAGCATCTTTAGCACCTGTTTTAAAAGAAAAATATTGAAAATAGTTTGTACTCCTGTAAGTACGTTAGGCTTTTTATACAGTGTAAAAAAAAATATCATTAAGATAAAGGTTTTATTTATGTATTAAAAATAAATTATTTTTTTCTTCTAAACGTCACTTAAGTGAGCAATAATTATAAAATTCAGTCTTAAGACATAATTATTTGGCATTAGCGTTTTATATGGAGAATTTCACCAAAATTATTTTTTCATACTAATATTTTTGGGATTTTTTAAAAAGCCATAAATTCAAATGTTATGAAATTTTGTAGGTAGATTGAAACAACATTAAGCTATAAAAAAAATTAAAACATTTTTTGAAAATTGGTATCTGTATAAAATATATATTTATTTTTGTTTAATGGAAACGGAACACAATTAGGACGAGCTATCTTTGAAAATTAAATTCAAATTAAAAAAATAAAATTAATTTTAGCATTTTATACGTAAAAGTAAGCTCTTGAAGTCAAATTTCAAATAATAAAAGAATGATGGACATAGCTATACTATGAAAGAAATTACATAGTAATGAACATTGAAGAAAAAAAAAACGCTAATTTCATACCTAATACAAATTTCATACATTTTTTTGTGTAACAAATGCCTAACGTACTATATCAAGTACAAATTATTTTGACCGATCATGAACCTCCTAAAATACTAAGTTTCTTTTTAAATTTAGTTTAATTTACAGAAACTATAATTTATATTTACTGATACAT